GAAGGTATGCATCGATGCACTACTGATGCATCGGTGCATAAAAGGTATTCGATGTAGTATTATTGCTGGGATGCATCGATGCACTCCTTATGCATCGATGCACCAATTGCATTCGATGTTTCATTATTAATGGGATGCATCGATGCACTACTTATGCATCGATGCATGAATTGCATTCGATGTCTTTATTTTAAAAGAGTGCATCGATGCACTACCAATGCATCGGTGCACATTCAAACAATTTCTGGGTTTTTAACCTTGATGCATCGATGCACTATGAATGTGCATCGATGCACTCTGCTCAGAACCTCTTTTTGAACCCGAAAATCCATTCATTTTGGATTAAATCCTTCATGTTTAATCCCCTTTTTCATTCTTAACTCTAGTACACATCCTTAAACCAATTTATACTCATTTATTTCATCTTAAACCTTCAAATCCTATCCTTCATATGTAATTCAAGAATTACATTAATAAATCAACATGTTTGAATTCCGTTTTTAACACTTCGTATATCTTCACTAGATTGATGACAAGTCAAATATAACTTTCAATTCTAGTTATGAACTCTATTCCAAGATTTCATTTAAGAACTTCAAATCTTAAATCTCTCCTAACTCAATCATCATTTGATGTTAAGATAACTTAAGCTTTCCTTAAGCTTAGTTATCATCTAATAATCAAAACCCAATATTAAATTTAACAAGAAACTCAATAATCAGAAATCTTACCTTTGCTTTGGTTCACACGTACAAGGAAGAAAGAAGAAGAAGATAACTATGGAAGGCTTTGGTGTTCTCTTCTTTTCATCCCACTTGTACCCATATATATCCTTATCCCTTCTTTAATTAATTTTCCTTGCAAATGACTCTTTTTCCCTTCCATTCCTTATTCCTTTCAATTCAATCCTACACAATCATTTACATATAAATCTTTATACTATTCATTCATTCTATTTTAATCACCAAAATCTGAAACTTTCCAATTTAGTTACTAACCTGGTATTGAGGATGTTACAAAGACAATCTAGTTTATTTTGGAAAAACTTAGTTGGCATGTAATCACAGTATTAAAAATGCTCTTAATTTTAATTAAGTAAAACTTATAATAATTTACAATCAATGTTTTGTTTTATATTAAAATGTTATGTTTTTAGAAATCGAAAAAGAAAAATTTTATGGGTTTTTCAAATGAGGAAATGTTATAAAGATGATGTGATGTACGGACAAGTATACGGGAGATGGGTGTTATAGGAACTATCCTAACTCTATTTTAATATTAAAACTAAAATAACCAAATTGATATTTTATAAAATTTTATTTATTTATTATCATAACCTTTTTAGTAATTTGTTTGAAAAGAAACTCTAATATATTTTTATGTAGTATGGAACAGTAATTTTACAAAAGAACTATCATAATTATTTAAAAAATGGGTATATAGTTATTTTAAATTTTAATATGATGAATTTATATCATATCATATTTTTATTTTAAAATAAATTTACAGCAAAAACTAAATGACCTCAATAATTAAGAGATTATTATTATTTATTAAATTTTTGTATTTAAACACCACATATATTAGAGTACGAGTATTTATTGTTAGATAATTGATAACATGTGAACAAATACTACTTTGTATACATAGGGGCGGACCTTATAGTTGCACTGGGTATCCCAGGCAACACCTCAAAATTGTCTATTTAGTGTTAATTTTTTTCTAATTTTTTTAATTAATACAAGTGTCACCCTTAATATTGTGTGTAACTGTTGTTTTTTATTATAGGAAAAAATAATATTCTATTTAAAATTTAAAAAAAAAAATATCAAACCCAAAAAACAAAAAAAAGATCAAGCCCAAAAAAACAAACCTTTAAGCCCATGAATTAAGTACCTATTTTCAGTTTTGTGGAAATTGAGATACGCCTGAATTTTTGTGCAACCCTGAATTTTTATCTTGGGTCCGCCTTTGTGTATACACTCAAAATTATAAAAAAATAAATTTAGATAACAAACGTATGTTATATTGTTTTAGTGCGGATAATAGAAACTAATGATTTTATTAAGAATATTAATAATAATAACAAAACCTAAGTTTACTTTATAATAATACATTATTGATTTATATTTATATATAAACATTTACATATGTAGATATAATTACACCTAATATTTCCATCAGGGTTCAACCTAGAGGGGCGGGAGAGGGTCTCTTCTCTAGAATTTTCAAATTCTTATACATTTTAGATATTTTTTATATTTTTTATTGAAAATATATTTGTACTCTCTAAAAATTTTCAAGTTCTATTCTACTTAAAATTTTATAAATTCGTCCCTCGTAACATGAAATCTTGTATCCGTCCTTGCTCCCCACTACCTCATCAACATGTCTATACTTCATCACTTTCAACACTTCAACCATTTGAAATCATACAAAAATTCAATGATTAAAGAAGTTTTTGTTATCTCTTGAGATCCCAGATTCGAACACTACATATATAAAAGTATAAGCATTCATTGTAAAATGGTTAAAAGTATTTAAATATATACTATCTTACATTCATCCAAGATTTATAAAAGAAATACTCAAATCGTCGTCTCAAATCAGTCAACTTTGAAAAATATCATCAATTGATAAATGGTTAAAAATAGATATTGAATTGTAAATTTCAACTAAACTTTTAAAAGATTGCTCAAAAGATAGATATTATTAAAAAAATTGTGTTGAATCAAAACTGCCAAATTTAAAATAAATTGAAATTAAATTGGACGTGAATTGGTTAAGATAGGATAAAGGATTAATTTGTAAAAATGCAAAATTAATGGGAGAATTTTTAAATTAGTCAAAGAGTCTTGAAATTTCTGTTCTAGAAAGTTTAGAAGTATGGAACTCCTTGAATTTTTCAAAACTATTTATTTAGTTTCAATTTGTTTAATCTAATTTCAATATTTTTTTTATTAGAAATAATAAAAGTATCATAAAAATCATAAAAAAATAATGCTTATCTCGATTGTACATAAAAATCAAATTCATAAAATGTAATGGAAATAAAAGATTAAACAAATAAAACCATTAAAACTATTTTTCATACTAATTTCAATTCCAAAAATACTGCTTTTGTTAACCAATTATACATTATTGATACTTTCATTTCATAGAACTCTTTTCAATGGTCACATGAACATATATGCCATTTTCATACCAAAATAATTTTCAAATTAAAACATGACATATTTGATCACTAAATGAAAACATACATCTACTTTTAAAGCTAAAAACTTATAAAATTAGCTTTCAGAACATTTCAATATATATATAAAGACTTAGACCCAACTTATATTATGTACATGTCACTATTAGTCGGGAAGGGAGTATATACATTGGTTGTTACGAGGATGGGTAGTTTCTGGTCAATTTGACTCAATTTGAAAATTTAATACCTTCGTTCGAAATTTAAACTTGACTATAGTATAAGGTAATTTTATTCGATCCAAAATTTAATATGAGTTTTGAAATAAAACCTGACTTCGACCCTAAATAATATAACATCATTACTTTTATTTAATAAAATAGAGATTTAATTAAAAATAATAAATATAAAGAGGAGTATTATTATAATTATCCTTAAATATATAATGTATAATTATATTATATTTCAAATCGGACCGAATATTTTTCACTCTAAATCCGAACTTGGCTCGTCCTGAACTTATCATCTAAAAAACCCAACTCGAACTCGATTTTCTTAAACCCGACCCAATCAAGTTGAGTCGAGTCGGAAGTCGTCGGGTTAGAGTCCCATTAGGGGTGGCAATCGGGTGGGGAAAAATGAAAACCGTGGGGATTCGAACCGACGGGGATGGGGAACAACCGAAATCTTCACCCACATGGATGAGGATGGGGAAGTTTTATCCCCAAAGCTCAAATGGGGATGGGGATTACTATATCCGAACCGTGGGGATAACCGAACTGTACTTGTGTGAATAACCATGAGGATCCCAAAAAATATCCATAGGAATCCTTGATATTTACAAAATTTTAAAAATATATTTATAATCATTTACCTATATACCCTTAATAAATATTTTAATAAAAATTTATATATGATAAGATTGTGAGATTACATGTTGTCACTATTACATCTCAAAGGAACTAAAATTGAAGTTTATATATTTTCTCATTTAATATACATTGATTTGTTGAGATTGAAAATGATTAAGATTGTACATATACGTTGGATGTTAGATGAATATTGACGTTTGAAACTTTCATATTATAGATAGAGACCAATTTGAGACAATTTGATATATTTTACAAGTTTTAGGTGTTGCATTAATTTAAAAAAATATTTGCTTATTTTTTGAGATGGAGATTAACTGAAACCTGCAGGGATCTATAAGGAATGAGTATGAGGACAAAAACAAAATCCCCGAAGCATATAATGGAGATTTTCCAAACCGTACTCGCAAGTGTTGGGGACGAATTGAGTAATGCAAAACCATCCCCACTACGCCCCGTTGCCACCCCTAAATCCCGTGCCCATCCCTAACTGTGATTACATTTTATTTTAATAACATATTCAATATAATATTTTTTTCTTTAAGATTTTTAATGAGATACCTATCATTTAATAAAATATTTTATATTTTTTATTGATTAAACATTTAATATAATACCTATATTTTTAAAATGTTTAATATGATATTTATATTTTACTAAAAACTAAATATGATATTAAAATTATTATTTAATATATTATCATGTTACACGGATTAACATTGTTAATAAGTATGAAATCAGTTAATGAAAATTCACATGTATTATAAATAACAGAAAGACTGATAGTTTAAAATCACACTAGACATTTTAAAATTACATATATTACATTATATATTTTACTAAAAATATAAATATTATATTAAACAGTTTAAAAAACATGTATCATATTAAATATTTTATCAAATATAAGTATCAAATGTGATATTACCCTCAGATAAAAAAAAAGGTAAAGGACCTGCATTGTCATTTGCCACTTGAAGGAAAATAGTTCCAAGTTCAAACTTGAAACGGCAATGATCAATTGAAAAATCCAACAAGCAGAAAGCGAAAGTGTCATCATCGTCATCACTCACCTTTCGATTAGGTATCTTTTCTTTTTCTCTCACTTCCAATTTCAATTACACCAGCTTCTTCTCAATTGTAAGTTGTAAGTGTCCCTCTATTTTTATGCTTTTCACATGTTTGATAAAATGCCTTTTAGCCAAATTCAATTCTAAAAGAACAATTCCAGATCGGCTCACAGTTTTTCCTGTTTTTGTTAAAGGAAGGAAATTCATTAACGCTTTGTTTTCAATCTGGGTTTTGGTAATTCAAAGCAAAAGAACACTGGATATGTAACTGTGTTGCTGTTTTTGTTTTTATTTTCTTTTGGAAGAATATTTACGGTTAAAACTTTGAAATACTGATCTTTTAACCTTTGGGTGTCTATACTTATGCATTTTTGAAGGGTAGTTACTGAAGTTGAAGAGAAAAAGATGGCAGAACTGAGCCTTGGCATACTTATAGATATTGTTGACGAGGAATGGATGAGAGATACTCTGCCTGATGATGGTATTGATTATTTCAAAATCCGCTTGAAAATTTGTTTAAATGTTTTACATCAGCTATGTAACCAGGTTATAGATATAGTTCATATCTGTTTGGTATTCATTACATTAAGAAAATTGGTTTGAATATAAAAATTTCCTGAGTAGATTATTGCTTTAGTTGATTAGTTCAAGTTTATTATTGGTTAACAAAGCAGATAAATTTACATATAGATCATTTGTAGTTTTGTTAATTCGTTAGGTTAAAATTAGGCTACTAATTCTTTCGTAGATGTTTCATTTGAGGAGATTATGCATAAGATGGTAGTTTAACATTGATTACAGAAGTAGCATTCTTCATCTTTTGTTAAAAGGCTGCTGCTTGTACCACCAAAACTGTCATTCAGACTTGTTGTTGTGAGTGTTCAACATGGGTATCTGCTCAACTCAGTATGTTCAGTATTTTCTAAGATTCCCATGTATTTGGAGAGTCGTTGATGATATATCCCCATCCCTTTGTCCGGATATGTGTCAGACATGAGTATTTCAAGAAAGATGAAGACTTAGAGTAACGTAGGGCCACAATGATTCCATATTGTAGAGTAGTTAGAGGACTTGAATCGGAATTGGATGTATCCTCGAGCGGCTTTCTGTTTCTCTTGTATATTTTCCATGAGAAACATGAAAACCTGTCACTTGCGGATCTTCTGGTTGCGTTTTGGAGGGCATGGAAATATGATCCTATTCAATTGTCATCCCTTTTCCTTTCTCCTTCATAGGTGATTTCTTTATCTTGTTACTGATCAATGCAGATCTTCAACTCCCACCTGTAATGGTTGCTCGCACTGATGATACTGAAGACTCAAGTATGTTTATGAATATCAGATTATACGTTTTTTCTATCAATGGCATTATGAAAACACATCTATCAATCATGTAAATGCTCATGTTTCTTTCCTGTTTATGGCTGAGAACATACAAGGAGTCTATGCATCAATATATGTCGAACTTGAAGGAAAATATAGCAAGTTTCTTTTGTGAATTCTTACAGTGTTTTAAACAAATATAGTGTATCTAATCTTTGTCCTTTTCTTTTCGAATTTGTTAAAATTTCAGATCACGAGACTCAACAGGTGGATAGCAATACCTGGCATGATCTTGAATTAAGTACTCAATGAAGGTCTTGGATGCTGGCAATGCTTGGTAACTCTGTATGAAAATGTTTGTCCTAAGACTTAAATGGCTCTCTCTTTCTCTTTTAATACGTAGAACTAAGATACCAATGGATCATTCAAGAAGGTTTGCTCCTTAATTCGAATGGAGGATTTTCATCCTTGGTCATTGATTGCTATGTTTATGAATAGAAGATTTATTGGTTTCACTTTACATTTATGCTACTCCACCTCTTTAATTTTTCGAAGTCCCAAGTTTGAAAAATACCCGAGCATAGATATGGGGGTATGGTATTCCAAGGACCCTACAAATATGCATGGAAACCTTGGAAAATATTTTATATACCCTTATTGCACACATACTTATGTACGACACATGTAAGTCCAAGTAACTTAGTCTTGCATTAACAGAGCATTATTAAGAAAAACAGCTCAACTGTAATATCTTGTGTATTTCATTGGTCATCTAAGGTTGCTATGTCTATTGTTGATTGTCTAGCCAGTAGCCACAAGCCATTTGTGTGAAGGGTAATTTGAATTTACAGATGAGTTACTGCTTTGTGGTCCTAGTGGCTTTTACTACATTGTAGATTCGCCCTTGTTAGTTGGTAATCTTGATATAAGAATACTTTGCCTGAGGATTAAGGTTAGTATTTTCAAGTTTAGGCCATTAATCTATGTTGCTCTAACTCCTCATTTTCCCTGAGTCTGTTAGGGCATAATTTTCTATATAGTTATGAGGATTGGATCCTTCAAAGACCCTCTAACATGGAAAAATCTAGAAAAGTTTAAGATACTTGTTTAGATAAAAATCCACATCCAGTATTCACACCTGAATTTGAGTAACATAGTTGTTAACCAATGGCGATTATAGATGCCCGACATACCTTTGAAAGTGACAGTTTCGTACAATTGGATATTGCAGGTTCAACATAGTTTCATCTTTGTTGAGCCGAGCTTGAGTAACTCATACTATTGAGTAAGTCGAATTGTATATGAAACATGCCTTAATACTCGATTCAAGTACTTTGTGCTTCTTTTCATTATTTGAATATATTAGAGGAGAAAGCTCATTTTTTTTCACTGAAAAGTGTCTGGGAAACTAATAACACATGATGCTTTAATAAAAGTCCAGTGGTTTTCTAAAGAAAGATCCATTTGTTTTGGGCTTTCATTATCAGCAATGTTTAAGCAGGGAATAAAGGTACATAGATATGTATGCCGACAAGTTGTTCGAGTTTTAACTATTGTTGATTAATGCTTAAGCTTGAGTTGCAAAAGGAGCCTAATTTAAGCTTAACTTGAATGGTTTACACTCGTAATAATAATCAAGCTTGTCAAATTCAAGGAACATCTCCCACACCTTTTCCTGAAGGACCACTTAAACAAACCAAAAGAAGGAAAAGTAAATGCTCAACCATTTTTGGATAACACTTCAAATCCCTTCCATTAAAACAAGACAGTAAATGCTCAACCATTTTTGGATAACACTTCAAATCCCTTCCATTAAAACAAGACAATGACATCTCTTTCGCCATTTGTTCTTGTTCTGGATTCCTTACAGAACACCTATGTTTCAACCTAATGACCCCCAACCAGTGAACGACACCTTCTATTCTAGCATGCACCGGTCGACATTTTATAGTTTAATCAGAGTTGGTTAAGCTTTAATCACTGTGTTTTAGAATCATTTTTTCTGTCTTTTGGATAGGTTAGCTTTCGCAATTGGATTCTTTGGATTTTGTTCACCTTGCTGTCTTTTGAAAAACTAACGTTAATGTATGATGCATACATGTAATTTGTTGTCAGCTACGGAATTGTTACAGAATTCGGATCATAAACTCTAACAACTTGAAATATTTAGTTTTTTTTTTTCTAAAAAAAAATGATATCAGATACATTGAAACGAGACATGACAATGATGGAATGGATATTGTTTGGGAAGAATCAAGTGTGGTAAAAACAGCACAGCTGTGGGAACCTTATTAGTCAATGGTGGTCACCGACAAACAATTTCTAACAAAGGAAGAAACTTCTGGTTTGATACATGACAATTTCAACCTACCTAATGCCAACTATTACTTCTTATTCATCTTTTATTAATTGGAATGACATAAATTTGGACATCAGTCGACATTTATGTCAATTTCTTTTTTCTTTTTGAAGTTATGAATACATAGTAAAAGTAATCAACTTTGCAGAACAGTATATCAATCGCTAATCAAAATATAAAGGTGCCGACACTCTAAAAAGGTGACTCTGATAGTAACAAGGAAGGTATAGACCCTACAATTCCAGCAACTAACCAGAGTTAGACTCTTCCTAGGCCATGCTTATGTTTATCAGATTCGAGACGAGTATCAGATATTACGGATATGCTTAACTTCTGGACACAGGTAAACGGACTTCATAACATTGATGCTTAAATTGTCAATGTTTTTGGACCAAAACTTGCCTTCTTTCACACGTAAATGAGCTTGAATCTGTGTGTATACAATTTCAGGAAAAATAAAAAGAGAAATGTACAAAAAATGGTTTCCTCCTTGGGTTTTATTTACTCAAGTCGTTATTCGTAAACTTGGGAGAGCCCTGCGCATTGCAAGAATGAGGTCAAACGCCTTCCTTTTAGCCCTTTCAATCCCTGTATCTTCAAGTTCAGCTAAAGTTCTATTGTTGGTTTCTTCTATACAGAGCTCCCTTAGAAATGCCTCATTTTTCGAGCACACAATGAACAGGATGACAACGCAGTTCTCCTTGGTACTTCCAGAGTAGCTATATCTCATTATCCGAAACAAGCAGGGTACCATATAGATTTCTCTGAACTGTTCAATGGCATTGGAATATGCAGATAGCTGTGCGAAAATGCCAAGAAGCTCATCAACGAGCATGGAATCGTTGATCATCTGCAGGATCACCGGCAACGCACCTATTTCAATAAACCGTATTTTGTTCTCATGCACTGTACATAGATTGGAGATCGTCAAGGCCGCTTCCCTCATTGCCAATGGATGCCCTGAGCGTAGGAGTTCGAGTAGAGTCACATGAGCCCTGGATTTTCCAATAATCAACTTGTTCGAATCTAGCTGTGTTAATGTGTAGAGAGCAGCAGTGGCATTTATTATTGTTTCAATGGTACCACACTTCACGGATTCAATAAGAAGTGGAATCACAACAGGGTTTTCACCCATCTCTGCCTTATTGCTGTCATCAGTCGAAAGGTTCAAAACTGTTCTGATCAAATCTTCCTGGAGATCGGGATGCAACTCGATTTTGCTTTCCGACAGAGGACGAAGCAATCTAGAGAAGGCATTAGGTATCTGACCAAAAGCGGTCCTATTTGATGGGCTTGCTTTTGTTAGTCTCATAAGCTCTTTCGCAGCTTCCTTCCTATCAGAAAGGGGAGAAGACATCTTTCGGAGCAATGAGTTTAAGTAATTAATGTCCTCATCAATCGTTTTTCCACTGATATTCTGACGGGATTCCGGTACTGCAATGCCCCTTACACCGCACCAGCGGGAAATCAATTCTCGAACCAAACAATTAGGGGTCAGGGTAGAGTAGGAGAGCACTTCCTTGGACCGAGGGCATGTCAAGTTACCCTGATTCAACCAGTACGCGATGTATGGCCTATCATAAGTCTGGAAATCAATAAGATCCAATCAATGCAGATGATCAAGAAGAAAAACATAAACTCGAAGACTAAATACAAAAATTGGATCCGAAAGAAGGTAAACATAAACTTGAAAAATCGATTCGAGGCGACTCAAATTTTATAAACTTGACTCGACTCAAAAAAAAATTCCAAAGTCAACTTTGAGTTGTAAAATAAGACTCGTCAACTCGAATAACTCAAAAATTTTTTACTCGACTCGATCGAACGCTCACCTCTAATTCTATTTTGGTTTGCTTGTTGATTTTTTTTTGGGTAAACTACACAAATAATTATTAATGTTTGAGTAAGTTTTCGTTTTTTCCACTGAAGTTTCAAAAGTAATAAATCCGTCACTAATGTTATCGATTTATAATTAATCAATCACTCGCCATTACCATGGGTGACAGAAAACTAACGTAACAAGTCAAGTGTTGACCTAACACGTTGGCTGTTTGACCTGTAATTTGATACCCCTCTAACCCTATTCTATTCTTTTTCCTTCTTACGGTCTCATTCTCTTTTATTTCTCTTTTCATTGTTAATCAATATAAAAATGATGGTTCTTCTTTATTGTTGTTTTACTTTTTTACTTGCACTTTGCTTAGAAGAAATAATTGCTTATCGAAGAAATTCACGAGAAGTAATAACAGGTATGTGTAGATATAACCACGATGTTTATACATATTTCACGTTCTTTGATTTTTTTTTTTTTTGGTTTATTGATCATTGCTTGGTTCGGAATGGATTAGGATTTTGATGTGATTTTCACTATGAATGTTATTATATTAAAGGTTAAAAAATGGCTTCAAAATCTAGGAATAGGAGACTAGGTATATATGCTGGTTCTGCACGAAGATGATGAACCGGATGGAGATACTAATTTATGACAAATTGATGGGTTGTCTCTATCCTTGCCTTTCTTGCTTCCATTCTTTTTATGTAGTAGAAATAAAGAAAAATCATCATTTAATAATTCATATTGATTAACAATGAAATGAAAGAAGATAAAACTGTAAGAATGAGAGGGGAATGGGGTTTAAAGGGAAGTCAGATGGCAGATCAAACGATTAACGTGTCAAGTCAGTTGTTAATATGTCATGTCAATTTTTGTCACTTATACTAATAATTGTTAATGGTGAATGATCAATTTGTTACAAATCAATAACATTAACAATTGATTTATTAGTTTTAAAATTTTAACGAGGAAAACAAAATTTTACTAAAACTTTAGTTATCATTTGTATATTTTACCCTCTTTGAAAAAAATAGCATTTGAAAAATGTTTGTGAAAAAAAGTAAAAAAATAAAAGAAGTCAATACTTTGAGAGTCCAAAGAATGCCATCGAAAGCTTAGTTGATGTAATTTTTTATATAATTAGGACAAGGAATAAACAAAACACTCGGGAAAAAAAATGAAATTTTCAACTTGATTTGAGATTAAAAAGTTAAACTCGTAATTTCATAACTCAACTCAATTTAAAAAAAATCAAACTCGAGCCATGGTATAAAATAAAACTTGAATAACTAAATTTTTTAATAATTAGTAGATTAATTTTCAAGTTTAGATCAAATCCCTTAACTCTACATAATATATTTATCACATGAAAAAATATATACATATATATAATATATGATTATAAAAAACCATTTAAAATAAATTCAAATAATATCATAACATATAATTAAATTTAAATAAAAACTCAAGCAAATCAACATGAAAAGATTTCAAATAAAGTGTAAGTTATAAAATAAGTCTCAACAATTCGACTAACTCAAAATTTTATAACTTGTCTCAATCGAATTCTCTTCCCTAGTTAGCAGAACTAATCATATGATAAAATTCTAGCTTGTTTCTAAACCTTTTTTTATGTTCAACATAAATAACTCACTTTTAAAAACTATTAAAAATTATAAAAACTATATAAAATATATATTAGTTGATGGTTACTTGTTGAATAATCTATCATACCTAGCAAAATTCTAGGAATTATTTAGACAACGGAATATAAAACATTGTTTAAGAATGCTTAAAGCGTGAGTTCATCTCCTTCTGGATTAGCAACAAAAAACATCCATGATCTTTCCTCTGCATAGACCACTGTTAGGAAAAAGTCATCTCTTGCAATCTGCGAGTACAGAACATGAACTGTAAGTGAACTTGAATCAATAAGGGCTTATAGATGACTGGCAGCAACAATATGTATGAAACCATCAGACGATGACGAGGAGCTTGACACGTCTGTCTGAGAATTTTTGCAAAAAGGATAGTTTGAGGTCACAAGATACCATGTCAAGCCAGTAAAATCTGCACTAATGACTTTGAATGGGTTTGCCACTTCATCCTTGTGGTAACATATTTTACATATGCATGCTTTCTATTTGGCTTCCCACTAAATTTCAAGTTTCAATCATAAAACAACACAAAGAAAGTAAAGATCTCAATAGAAGAAAGTCCATGACGTTCAGTGCATAGCGACATTGCTCACAACCTGAATCAGGCAAGCAGCTACATATATAATATGGTACCTGAAAGTATAGCAGAAAAACCAAACTTGACCATAGCAAAGCATTTTGAGAGACGAGCTAGAACAAATATCTTAATCATATCACATCCTCGACTTAATTGTAAAATTCTTCTTAGTCAACAGATAACCTTGATTGAAATTTTTTTACTAGTATTGATTTCTCTCCATTGTAAGATTTCATTAAAAAAATGTACCAGCAAAAACTTCAGATAAAAACATAGTAACCTATAATGATCACAAGAAAATGAGGATAAAGATAAAGACATTAATATGCTCTTAATGGACCTCATGAAAATTCTATGAATAAACTCATGATAACAATTTTAATATCTCGGAGAGAAAAAGCATACTGAAAACAACAAAGGCAATATTAGGGCCCGTTTGTTATGTTGGGTAAGAACGGGAAAAACCAAGAAGCAAACATCAAAATCAAAATGTGCCAGTAGCTACACCAGTAAAAAATTATATGATAAAGGATACAAAGGAGGATACATATTGAGATATGCAGAAACCTGATGACTTTATACTGCAAAGTTATTAAAGCAACCAGGTCAAAAACAAAACATATAAATCAAATCACCAGATCTGATCTAAAGGATAACCAATAAACTCACCCCCAGAAAAGGAACCTAGGTGAGATTTTCCATATTGTTAAGGATATGGTTCATTTGCGAGACTCTGCAGGCACATCCTTGATATCACTCTGGTCTGACATACTTGCCACCAAGGACATCATCGTCATGCATATCTTCATATTCTAAAGGATTATATCTATCATCAAATCCATTATGTTCCCTGGAGCCTGAAGTATGATTCTCATAAGTGCTTCTTTGATTCTGATCTCTACTGTTCAACTTTGGGTCATCCTTTCTTAAATGAAAGTCATCTGAAGAATTAGAAACAAAATAGGATGATTTGTAATCCTTACATTTAGAAATACTAGATCTACATCCTCTCTCATAGTGGGTGGCTCTTGTGGATTCTACATCATCGCGTTCCCTTCTATGACTTCTTTGCTCATCTGATCCCCTATGGCTTCTGTGTCTTTTTGAGTTTCCGTAATGATCTTCTCTGTGTTTCTCATTACCAATTCTTTTCCTATGATCTTCAAGATCATGGTGCTCATGCCTTCTTGATTGCTCAAAATCGTTCCGTGAGTAATCCTCAAATCTTGAAGGTCTCCAATGCTGGTCATTGTGTGAGCTTCTCCTGTATTGGTTTGGGTTACCTCTCGCTGCTTCAGAAATATCACCGGTACCTTTTCTATGCTTATCATCATCCGCTGCATGGTCATAAGTAACTGGTAATTCAGATAATAACTTCTCTTCATCCGCTCCTCTGACAAAGCAACCAATGCCCCCAGCTTTTTTTATTTCCTCTGTGTATTCCTCTATTATATCCCTCATAACCTATAAAAAAATATTTAGGAATAAATTAAAGCATTAATTAAGAAGAACAAGAACCTTGCAAAATAAGACTTCCAATTTACCTAATTTAAATCACTCGTAAATAATGTCTCCTAAAAGTTACCCTTCTACCAGATTACATAATTTGACTGAACATATTGGAACTTTAACATAGGAACAACGAATAAGATTTTATGAAATGAAAATTTCTTCACTCTATGCAGGAATGAAGGCTTCTCAATCAATTGTGTCAGAAAGTGTTTTTTTTATAATAATAAAGAAATAAAATGAAAACAGCAGTCATAGACTCATAGTTGAAACAGCAATTAGCAAATATTATATAACAAATGAAGAGCAAAATCCCAATAGGTAATTGCACTCCAAAAAGAAGAAATTCCCACCTCTAATTTTGTCCGCTTCAGTTTCTTCCCACGATATGACATTCTTCGTCTTTTGTAGTCTCTTTCTTCAGCCAATAGCTCCTCTCTTGTTTTAGTCCTATTTGTTTCCTTACATGATAAAAAAAGGAACTGTGAATTCAAAAGGTGTAGTTGATGCAGAACACTATTTAGCTAATTGAGGGTAAGCTTCCTTAAGAATTTATCTTGAAACTTGTATGTTTGGGGGTTAATTGTAATATTTTATAGATCTAGAGTTATATTAGGAATTTTACAACTTTATTAGTGTTTAGCATATCTTAGTGTCCTTTTCAATCCTATTAGGCTTTGTGTTTAAGTCAGTTTATTGTTTTATAAAAAGTCTCAAGTATTTCCTCCAAAGTCTATATAAATATAACTATACTATTTCATTTTTAAAAAAGATTATGATTATGATATTTATGGCACTATTGATATGAGATTGTGTGATGCAAATCCAAAAGAACCCTACATGTGCTGGTTAGTTTCTCTTTAGATGAAAAGAAGGAACAATAAGTGTAAGCTTAGGTTCTCTTTCTCCTCGGGAACCCTCTTTTGTTTAAAAAACTCAAAATTATTGTTATCATAATAAACCCGAATCTGTTCCAGTAGAATTAAGAGAAAGATACTAACCAGTTAGTTAGAGCAAAGCATCGAAGTTCAAATTCTAAAGCAAAGTGCAGATCAAAATATTTGAAGGATGAAGTGCTACCTCATTAGATGATGCCAGCCGAGGAAGCCCATCATGATCAATTATAGGTCTGTAGTTAGGGCGTTTTTTTCTCTCCACATCAGCTCTCTCCAAAACATTCACATGCTCAGCCATCCTACACATCAAGAAAGCCTATATTAGCCATGTCAGCATCCATTATGCTAACTAAATGCAGCAAGTTTAAGGCAATACCATTTTTTTCATTAACTAAATAAGTTTAAATTTATATGTAAATATCAAACCAAGAGACATCATTACAATAAAACAAATAATAAATAAACAAAACATTGAATTGCAAAAAGTACAGAAAAATGGAAAGAATAACTAAGATAGCATAACAGAGTTATAACGTACAAGAACCTTTGAGCAAAACATAGTTGGCAGATTGTCCAAAGACAAAGAACTAAAAATGGTAACTAACCGCTGATATCTTGGAGGAGGTAGGGAAGCCCGTAAATGCTTTATTTTCTCTTCAATGAAACGCCGTTCATGCAATGCCGCAATTGCTGCTGCTACCTGGGTTACAAATATGGTCCCAACGCCAATATTTTCTTCAACAGTGTTAACCGGTTCATTACTTCGCTCCATTGGCTCCTCGAGTTTAATTTCTGCAACACCATTAGTATCCAAACTCTTTGATTCCTGTCCAAAATTAAGAGGATCAGTCACCTTTCCTTCCATTGGAAAAAACAACGACCTTGATGCTCCTTCTAAGGCACATTGTTTGATCATATTGATTGCAAAGAACTTCCCATTCACTTCACCATACAAAACGGAAAGCTGAGAACCTAACCACATTAAAACATGAAGCAAAACAGGAGATTCAAGCATTCTCCTCCCCATATTCAAATCTGATTTTTTCGACTTAGCTTCTTCATATTCCTTCCCTAATTCCACAAAACCAATAGCTTCCCTCACAATAGCCTTCAAACACAACCTAACAAGCAAAATTATATGATGCCCCATAAACTCATCAATCACAATACCATACCTTGTTGAATTAGCAATTACCCATTTCCTCAAATCCCTTCTTTTCACCATTCTCGATCCCAAAATCCCACAAGCAACATTAAGTGAATACGAGCCGGCGTAATCAGCCCACCTCTCAACTTCCATCTTAATTTCCCATAAACCCGAAGCTAAAACACTTAAACCTTTCCTTTCACTAACCTCACTCTCTCTTCCATTCAAACTCTCACAATTAACGCATTCAACCGATAAAACAGCGGGTAAAGAAAACTTTGCTTTATTGTTGTTATCAATATCAAACAAACTGACAACACCAGAACAATCTCTGTAGAAGAAATGAGACCCGAAATCAGAGAAGTAACCATCTAACGAGAGGCAAAGTTCTGAGCACTGTTCACTCTGAAGAACGGCGCCCTGGGAATGTAAATGTAGAGTGGAATTAAGGGTATTCCGATAATTCGGGGGATGCAGATCGATACTTTGACGGGAAGGGCAGCGAAGGAAATGGGAGAAAAGGGACTCTGGGGGAAGGAGGTGGTTCGGGTTGGAAGGGCAAGGGACAAGGTTGGGGGTTAGGGATTTGGAGAGGGAAGAATGGAAACTGAGGGTTTGATTGGAGAGGGAGATGAGGGAGGAGAGAGATGTGGAGAGAGATGAAGGGCAAATAGGGTTAGGGATTTGCGAGAGGGAAGGAATTGGGAAATTAGGGTTAGGGTTTTGGGAAGGGAAAGAGGGTTGAATTGAAGGATTCATTGTGTTCTGAAATTTTGCAGTTACCGTACAACACTGAAAGAGAAAGAGGTATGGAAAGTTTATAATCGAACTACGAAATAATTAGGGTAAATTATGCGAATAATCCTCTTTATTTTTCATAGGATTAACTTTGGTCCCTGATATTATCGCTCCGTCTAATTTAAATCTCTAATTCTTAATTTCCATTAACCCTGTAACGAAAATCTGATGTAACAATTAAAAAAATTCAAAATCCATATGTCTTCTTTTTCTTTAATGTAGTTGTTCTTTGATGATAATGCTAAAATATTATCCCACATTGAGTAGAAAATACCACATGTTTTACTATAGTGTTCATTCTTCATTCCTTTGTTGAGTGATAGAGAACAAAGGAAAATCTCATGCATTGTTATCGTCTCGTGTCAAGTGACAATACGTGTCTTCAACACGTTTGTGTAGATACTTTCTGTTTGGAAAAAATTCGTAAGGATTTTTCTCAAGCATAAAAATATCTGTGAAAGAATTTTGTTTGATATTTATAGGTTGTTGTATGATTATATTTTCAAAGGGTGACATCTAATTAATCAGCCTTCGTTTTGATTTTTGAAAATTAAAATTTAAAATTGACAGTTTCTGAATTCATGTTTATGAAACGTTGAATGAATTTGGACAATTTTTCAACTTTGTTCAGAGTGATTATTATGTTAGAGTAATTACAAGAGTTACAAACAGTTAAGTGTTAAAGCACGAACCTAGACTGGATTGATGTTAAATTCATCCGTTTATTGCAACAGTTTCAGACACGATTTTAATTTAGAAATTAATCATATTTTATATCTGATTTACATCGAACAATTTTACGCAGAAGCTTAGCCTATAAATGGAGAGCTTCATATCACTTTCAACTCACACTCAACATTTTCATATCCTCTCATCTAAAGATATTTCGAGTTATTCTCTTTGCTGCTATCAGAAGGACAATACCACCGGCAGTCCACTCCAGTTTCAAGTGTACGAAATTTAGAGAGATTGTGTTAAGTTCGAGAGATAATTTGCCTGAAACAGCGATTACACACATCGGGACAAATTTATTTTTAAGACAGTGATTTTTACCACGACACGATTTCGATTGTTTAATATTTTTTTTGTCTAGTCAATTACTATCGTCTCATCTTGCAGTTTATATTTCCAACATTCTTAACTCCTCACTTCTTCTTCTGCCACCACACCCTTTCCTCTCCATGGAAGCATCATACATAAAGAAAATGTAAACCAAATATATGCCCCATTTTTGTACTAAAGACACGTTAAACCCAATTCTCTCTCTCCCTCTCTCCCCAGCCCATCTCATAATCTCCTTATCCCCCCCCCCCAACATAAAGAAAAACTTTCAATCATGGAGAAAGTAGAAGGCTCATCAATGGTGGTAGGATTTGTTTCACCTTCTTCCGCTCATTCACATGAATTCTCCTTTCACAAATTGTCATAACCATTTTTTTTAAACAAGTAAGTTTAAAAAATAATTATGATTTTTATTTGAAAAGTGGCGATTTTGAATTAATTTGAATTAAATCGAATGGGAGTCGCCATCGACCTTTTATAAGTAGATCGAATACCTAAAAATATCTTTTAAAACAATTTTTGGAAAAATCATTTTGTAAGACAAAAGTTGGTATGCGTATACCAAAAATCCGATTTAACGGGTCCGGGAGTCGATTATGTGTGGGAAGTGATTAACACCCCCACAACGCCCAAAATTATTACTCAATTGCTTACATGTTGTCATAAATGGTGGAAATTGTGAATCGAATATATAGTTAGAATTTATTAAAGTTTGATTAATTTCCTTCAATTATTTATTAGGGATAATCCTTTAATTCGAAAAGAAATACTGAGATTGGCTCATCCTCCGACGGGAAGGCTATCTCTCCTATTTCTTGACCAAAAAGAATATTTCCTCATCGATAAAAAAACATGAATCGAATATAAATTAAAAATCGACATTTACATAAATTTCTATTTAAAACAAAACTCATTGTATCGTTTGAAAAGACGAATTGATTATCAATAAAATATAAATTTAGGTTATTTAGAGTTCACATTTCGTTAGAACGTCATATTGGATCGCACTACTTCGATCAAGCAATACTTTCCACGCCCGTTCTACAAATTGGTACTCTTGAAAATATTCGAGTAATACTAAAAATATAAATATCATTTATAAGACACACACATCGTGCTAAAAAAATTATTCCATAAATCTAATTAAAACAAGTAATATAAATTAAAATAAATAAAGGTGAACATCTTGCAATCATACAATATTGATATTAAGCTTACATATATAACATAATAACAAAACATTTGATAACATATATAAAAAAATAAAAAAAATGTTTGGTTTAAATCAGAATAATAAAATTAATATGAAACTAAATGACCAAAAGATTAAGTTAAAATAACGAGAAATAACAGGGGCTGAATATGTAATAAAACCATCAGATCCTAAATACTATACTAAGGATAGTGACTAAAATAAACATAGGGGAAAATCTGAAGCCTAAATCATACATTAAACCAAGATAAGCAAAAGCAAACATAAATGACCGAAATGAAAATGAAGCAAAACAAATAGCCAAAATCAGAAAAAATAGAAAAGATGCATACTAGCCAAACAGGGACGAGAATGAATTATCAATCAATTAATCTGCTCGAAATGAAAGAAAACAAGAGTTTCATTCAATGGTAAAAACAGAAAGATTACAAACTATAGGACCTAAAGTGCTATTACCCTAAGCACTAAAACACGCTGAAAGACTCTCCCCAAACGACATCGTTCCACACTTAATATATATATAAATACATCCAAGACCAAAAAACGATCACCCCTTCATTTGCTCAGTTTCATTAACAAAGGGAAGAGAGAGGACCGCTGCTCACTGGCAGTACTCTACGGCTGTTCACGACGGCCGGAGAAGACAAACCCCCCAAAAAAACTTCCTCTCGCTCTCCTAAACCTAAAAATCATCTCCATTTAGCATAAAAAAATACCCTAGAATCTTAGATCTAGGGTTTACCTTTCGAAAAAGAAAGGAACCGACGACTCTTGGGCTTCCATTGCTTCGAACCGAGGTAAGAACATCATCTTTTTGCTATTTTTTCCTTTTTGTTGTTCTCTTTGTTTTTTTCTCCCACTTTTTTCTCAAAAAACCCCCGAATCTCTTTTTTTTTAGTTCGGTTCCTCCTCTCTGCTCCCTCTTTTGTGCCTGTTGCTTCTGCTTTTTATCTCCTTGCATGATGGACTTTGGGTGACTTGTGGATGTGAGTGATGGTATCTCTGGGTAGGGTATGATTTCCCCAGATTTCCTTTTGATTTGTTCTCAATTTTTTATTGTGATTGTTGATGTTGATTATTGACTTGGTGACTGATTGTGTTGATGGATGGAAGTGTTAGAGTGATGACAGCGGCGACAAGGAGCTACGATTACGGCTCACACGACGGGAAAGTTGAAGGGTTGGGCGTGTGCACTACACGCGTCGGTTGATCGGACGGTCCACATCCGTTGTTGATGGTGACGCTAGAAACCATCAAAAACCCTAATAAGTTTCGGGTTTTGATGCAATTGGGCCGAGTCGGATCCCTCTTTGGGCCGGATTGAGTTTTGTAACTGTGTTAGGTCTATACTGGGTTTTGGGTTTTGCAATTGAAGTTGGACTTTAGGTTGGGGTATGCAGAAAAATGTAAATATAATAATAATAATAATAATAATAATAATAAAAAGTAAAACCTGAACAAAAAACAGGTGTCTACACAAATATCTCTCGACTCTTCTTCTTCCAATTAAGCGGAAGCCCCACGGCCAATTAAGCGGAAGCCCCACCTCCGACTTCCATCGCCGTTGATTTGACTCCCGTCGATGATATATTCTTCCACGGCCATTTGCTCACTCTACACCTCCTTTCTCATCGCTCGGTTTCCCCGCGTTCCTCCACCAACCCATTGGACAGCTTCACGCTTCCCATAAGAGAGCTTTACGACGACCCGAAACCCAAAAAACCAGCAAAAGCGAAAACAACATCAGGGGCATCAATGGAATACGAGTTAACAAAAACAACAATGAATCAACAGTAGCAAGAGAAAAATCCAAGTCGTTCTCGTTGTTTAGTTTCACAAGACGAAAAAAAGGACTAGTGGACGTTGAGCACTACAAGGAGAAGCATAAGAAGAAGAAGATGAGATTCGACGTGTCTCATCTGTTAAAACGATACGTAAGGATGGTACGACCTTTGTTGTTCTTCAAAGGGAAGAGAGATAACTCCATGTCTATAGGCAACCTTATTCGTTTTCGGGTAATTTAGGTTTGAGAAACAAAAAGGGAGATGATTTGATGATCGGAAGGAGAGCAATGTGAGACAGCCATAGGCAAGCACGCCCAATATATGGTTTTGTCTGGTTGTGGGTAGTTAATGGAAAGAAGAAAGAGGAGCAGAAGAAAGATACATGGGTTTTTCTATTTGTATTTATATTTTTAATTGTTAACTCATATTTCCGTTAAAGATTAACGTAAATTGAACGATGGAGGGACTAAAATTAAACATATCGATAATATTAAGTACCATTTTTCCTTATTTTTGTTTGTGACCAAAGTCGGTCATAGCAAAAACATATGAGACTATCACTATAGTTTAACCAAATAATTAATATAAACTATATATTTAGTATCTAAACTATTAATTTTATTTTATTTTAATACCTAAATTTTCATTTATTTCAAAATCATTCTTAATGTTTTCTTTTCGTTTGGTTTTCGTAGCTCACCAAAATTGTTGTACGATACCTTTTTATAAGTAAATTATATTATTGAACACTCAATTATCTTTTCACTCTTATTTTGATCACTAAAGTTTAAATATTTTTATTTTAATTACTTAATTTTCAAATTATTCTTAACTTAATCACTTTAACTTTTAACTTTAATTTTTATTTTAATTAAATAATAATAAAATGTCATGCCATAAAAATTATTAATAAAATAAATTAGAGTGATTAAAACAATAGTAATTTAAAAGTTGAGTAGTTAAATTGAAATTTATTAAACTTTAGTGACCAGAATATAAGTGAGAAGATAGTTAAGTGATGAATGTTATAATTTACTCATAAAAAATATAATTTCGTTATGTTTTTAACATTGAGTACTAAAATAAAATAAAAATAAATATTATGTATCATTTTAAAAATAAATAATAGGTATTAAAACAAAATAAAACTGATAATTTAAATTTAAATACTAAACATGTAGTTTACAAATGATAATTAAGTGATGTTAAATTTTACCCATTTAAATAAAGAATATATAATATGGGAAAGAAAAAATATAGGGTAAACTATATAAATGGTCCTCCGACTACAAGGAACTACTTTATTGAGTCTCTTAATTATTAAAAGATACAAAACGATTCACCAACTATAGAACACTATCATGTTGAGTTATCCGACTATTAAAAGTTACAAAATTATCACCTGACTATTAATATGTTCTAAACTCGCTATTTTTCATTAAAAATTATCACCTGGACGTTATGTCATCGAGTCAATAGTCAAGGCTAGTGCTTGAGTCACTCGATTTTTTGTTTACGTTATGTTGTCGAGCTAGAGCTTGAAACGTTATGCCTTTGACTCAATACTTGAAAGCAACGACGGTTCCAATAGACAACACTAAAATATGATTTTTATCATATCTCAATCAGTAGGTTAACGTTCAGCTTAGACAATTATCAATTTTCAATGGAAAAAGACAAGTTTGAAAAATATAAATAATCAAATGGTCATTTTGTAACTTTTAATAGTTAGGAGACTCAACAAAACAACACCTTATAGTAAGGAAACTATTTTGTAATTTTTAATAGATGAGGTTCTCAACACAATAGCACCCTATAGTTGGAGGACCATATGTGTACTTTACCCAAAAATATATTTGTTATTAATTTTTGAAACAAGGGTTTATGAATGATTTAATGTTGGAGCGAAGCCGCCTAAATGTGAGAAATGATATTACGTTAGGTTTCTAATTTTTAAGATAACATTTGAGAAACATTATTCGAATATTACGTGGTTCTGCTATGTTTTGGGCATAGGAGCTTTTGATGATCATGATTAATATGTTTGATAATTTGGTCAAAAGTTTAATATATATATTTAAAAAAAATTACTATTAATTATCAATAAATACTAAATAAAATTGAACCAATTTTTAAAGACAAACTCAACATTAATTAAAATTTCAATTATGTTTTTATTGGTTCAACCGATATTTTTTTTACCGATTTGATAAAATTTCAATTAATTCAACGAACAAACCCGGTCAATTTTATTTTATCATGGATGGAGTCTATTTTTTCTCGATGGATTTATTGTAGATATTAAAATCCATCTCCTAATTTGTTGGATACTTTTTGATATAATTGTCGGTATTCAATTCAACGACCGACTAATCTAAATCGAGTACCATATGATCTATGAGTCGATGCAATTCCTCTGGTTATCAGAAGAACTATAATTGTTAAAACATTTGCACTCGACTATTCGCACATATATTGCAAATCTTAGTAGGGTTCATGAAGACCTAAAAGAGCAAAGTATACAAAAACAAGGTCCCTGGCGAGAACATAAGAGACAATGGCATGACACCATTGCCACCAACGAATCATTTGAGCCTCATCCATCATTCATTATCTATCTTCACGCGATGTCTATATATAATTTTTGGTCTTTCCAAAGTGTATTACGCGACGAGAACACGGATGCACTCGCTCAGGTACCTCTCTGCGGCAGTGTTTCGAATGCAGAAACAGTATTCTCAAACTTAATCCGAGGTAGAGGGGCACCACTTTGCTTGATAGCACAAGCTGTTTTGTCTTCGAGAGGGCAACGTGCTTTCAGCATCGAAAAAACGTGATTGTTCAACCTCCTTGCTTTCTTCATTGCTTCTAGCATGGTATCCCATCCCTTTCCAAAATAGTAATGCCATTAAAAACAGATTTACATTGGCTTTCACAAGTTATACATGAAGCATGTGAAAATAATTTCTGGTCATTTTGGCTAATATAAGCCTCATTCTGTCATGCGACTCAAAAATACGACACCACAACATAAGTGATAGTTCAGACTCATTCACAATTCACTACTGTGTGATTCACATCTAACCTGTGAGGCATTGTCTGTTTTGACTCGAAAGACAATTTTATCCAACAAAAGGTGCTCCCACGTGTAGGCTCAAGTTAAGTTTATACATATGTATGAAAGAGGGTTTTCAGAGTTTCCCAAAATAGGGTTGGGTGTTACAGCAATTTAGTCTAGTCCTAGAGCCCAAACCTCGTACCAAGTTTCGTTTTAAGAATGAGTCATAAACAGAAGGGAGAAAATTGTGAACCAGGTTTTCAATATACTTAAACAGATAAACCTTTCGTTAAAAGTAATCATGCATAAATGATAAAACAGAAATAAGATTCCTGTACCTGGCCAGAATGGGGACTTCTATGTGTTTGTGTCATTGATGCAGCTTCAACTTCGGCAATGTTTAGGATTTGATATGAAAAATCAAATAGCTCGAAATGCAGCTGTTGCCCAAGCAAGTATATTATGGTACAGCCACCCCAAGCAACTGAATCGCCCAGCATATCATGATTGTTGGGCTGTAATTGAACAGACTGCTCCAGATATCCCTATTGTTCAAGCCCAAAAAAAAGTCATTTGAAATAAGCAACATATTAAAGTGGGACAAATAATTCTCAACAGGTTTGTAAGCATTTAATACAGATGTAACAGATCCCTCTTAAACGGTTCGAGGCACTGCAAGGTTATGAATTCACTTGTTGAGATCAATCATAAAAGATATGGCTATATTAATGTTAAGGTTTATAGAAGATCGTTCCTTACAATTTGGAGGCCACTGTATATACGATAGAAATCCTTTGAAGTTGTGATGTCAATGAACCCAGTCTTTGGAGCAGCACTCCATTTACTGCAATATTTATCTAATGCTGCACTTGTAAATGCAAGTGCGTATTCTAACACACTTCCCGTATTTAAGTTAGCCTTGTACAAAAGATCTGCAGCATAAGGAAGTCACAAGACCCCTTAGAACAATAAGTAGAAAAGAAGACAGAGATGGTGGCTAGTGTTTATTCAAGGGTAAAATATTAAGTATTAAAACACTACAGCGTCTTAGAATCCTATCGAAACCAATTATATTTAGGTGGAGGGACCCCAATATTAGACCACAAGAAACCCAATACTGAACAGATGAGTGATCACTTTATAGTTACAAAAATATTTTTCTTGATTTTGACAAACCAACATTACAGTTTTTGCATGTTTTCCTATTTCAAAGAGATGAGGGCAGAAAATTGTACCTAGATTCAATTAATTGATAATTTTCTTCTGTTTAGCAAATCTTAAGTAGCCTCAATGAATCAAAGAATACTAAGTATATGCAATACCTGCAGCTTCTGCCTGTTTTGACATTGTGTAAAAGGAGGTTGGATTTGGGCACCTAGGGTTTGACACAATTGCAGCTGTAGCAGATTTGAAGAGGTTGACAACAGGGCTGTCTCCACCATTTTGTGAATACAATGTTTGCCCATCTGCACCAGGAAGCAAGCCCAACCAAGCTGCTGTTTGCATGAAATGTGTGGTATCCAACTCTCTCTATAAAGGAAACTTACCGCAGTTAGATGCAAAAACAACAACACCAATAAAATTAGAGATTGATGCAATGAGCTAATGATAAGAATTGTTCAGACAACACCGTATAAGGTCAAACATGATAAGGTACAATATTTCTTTATGTCCATTGGGTTTCTGGTAGGATCCAGCAGATAAGAGGAGGAAAACGACTTAACCACCCCTATAGGTATAATCAAACATCCTTTTTTACAATAGTATAATAATATTTAAACATACTTGGTTGTGCTCATTTACTAATCTTATTTCCTTATTAATTCTAGAAAGGGCATGCACCAATAGTATAATTGTCCCGTACTTGAAATATACAATAGAAAATGAAGATTGAATATCATGAAACAATAAAACTGCAAGTATATTCACAAATAAGTTGCAAGGGTAAATTAATTTAACCAAGTTCCACATTGTTGTCTTACACTACTTTAAAGTAAATTGTGGGCTTGTATTCAGATTAAGCTCTTGTACCTATCAGGCTATCATTAATTTGTTTTAAGCTCTTGTACCTATATCTATAAGACATTTCCAAGTCATATTTATCCCCTGCAAGTAGCTGGGGTAGCACTCACTAATGATGAAATTGGAACTAACCAAAACAATATCAAGGAGCCCCATCCAATATAATACACTTCCAATCTCCTTTATTCCGCGAAGAACTTCTGCTTTGAGCTCTGGTTTTGTTTCCCAGCTGAGTTTCTCTTTAACTAGCCTCATACATCCTACACATAGAAATCAGTATACAAGTGAAATGACAACAATAGATCTGCTAACAACCTTTTCCACCGCTAACAAAAAGGATAAAATAATAAAAACAGAGATAATTATCAGACCTGTAAAAAATTCAGTACTACACACAAATCATGACTAGATCTCAACCTTGAAATTTCTTTTTGAAACCTACCTAGTCCGAGAAAATATACTTTTAACAAGAACTGAGTCCTGTTCCCTAAACAAATGTTCCCTTAACAATTTACACACCAAAATTTCCCATCAGTAGTAGTCTTAGTTCTGAAGTTCAGAAGTACAAATAAAGAAAAAGTCAAACAAATCACTTGTGAAACTCAATAAAGGTCACCAAAATCACTTTGTTTACTTTCTGTATGAGTGATAAAATCTACTTCAATTGCTCATTAAAAATGCTATCCTGCAATGCACCTTGGAAAGTTTCTTTATTTGGCATCAACAAGCATTTCAGGAAATCACATAAACATAAATTGCCTTGACTTTCTTAAATTGTTCATAAATATATCAGATGTCTGTGTATTTGTAATTGAATGAAACTATAAAACATGGCAGGTCTGAAATCCTAAACACAGACATTGAAGCTCAGCATTGTATGGGATGAAGGTTATAATTTTCATATCAATTGAAGCTTAGCATTTTGATACTGCATAAAAGGGAGCATCCTAAGCAATTGCATGGGGAACAAAGGAGATAAAGAGGAGTATATCTTTCAATACTACTTGCATGAGATCGATGAATTTTTGAAGTACACTAGAAGAAAAAGACAAATAACACCGGCTTGTACCTGTCACACCCCCATCAAAAGGAAGAAGTCCAATTGATTTCGGCAGTGCTTCTTGCAAGCCTGTGATCATAGGCTCAAGTGTAGCAATCTGGAACATGCAGTGAACCATATGTTAGATTGAACTTCCACTAGCAGTGCAGCCTGGATATTATATCTTTAGAGGGTGAAGATTATAGCACTTAAGGATTGCAATAAATTACCACGAATTACATCTTGACAATCGATAATGCTTCAAATATCAAGGGAAAAATCAGATAAAAGAAGGCATATGCACTACCCATGAAGCACTTCAAGTAAAATGTTGCCTTTAGTTGATTACGAAATCTACACTCTGGTTACTACAAAAGAAGTATAACTTGAGCCCATAATTCATGCATACCTTGTTTGATATATGATCCAGCAGTGCTCGGATAAGCCACGGTAATGACCTAGATCCTAGAAGTTTAACAACAGAAATCATGTGTGGAATCCCAAAAAATCCACTATGCAATCGCGCAAAACTTTGATGTGCAGAATTTAAATCCTGCAATCATAAAAGGGAAAACAGTGCATATAAGCTAAAACCTTTAAGCAATCTATTTGTGGATGTCAATTTGCAACCCCAGCAGAGAGAAAGGGGGATCTTTTTTGCTTAAAAAAAGTTCACCAAAAATGCAGTTACTTTTGCAAAAATCTTCAAAAAACTTGCAAATGTAGAAATAATCGGAACACAATTAACCATAGCTTCTTACTTGAGTACCACAATAGAAGTTTGGCTTGGCATGTGGAACTGATGGCTTTTGTACAGGAGCAAGAGGAACTTTGGAAGATCGGATAAAACGCTGAGTAGTATTGCAAAGGACAAAGTTTGGCAGAAAATCATTTTGCATCTCAGACCAAATCTAGCACACAGAAGTGAAAACCAAGCAATAAATGACTTGTGATCCAAAAACTGAGCTAAAGTTACATTCAAATCTGGAAAATTTTGTTGAACCTGAGAAGCTAGTCGACTAGAAAATGACACAAGAGATATGTTCTCCTGTATCTCATTTAGCATGAGACTGAATGAGTCTATTGAAAGATCTTTTGAAAGTAATTCATGGGAATGCTTCAGTATATCTACCAGCTTTTCTAATTCCTGCAAAAAGAGATCATGTTTGTCATTGGTGTGAAACACAAATATAAAACCACAAAAAGAAAATAAAAAAGAAAAGGTAGCCACTAACCACTATGGCACATAGATCTTGAGACTCAAAACGATCAAAGAGAAACTCAAGATTTTCTCTGAAGACTTTATTCATCCGTTCAGCAATCAGACTTCTTAAATTAATTGTCCTCCCAAGTAACTGTACATTGCAAAAGTTGACATCAATTGAAAGTATTAGTCTAAGATACAAACTACATAATTATTATTTTTTAATAAACAAGAAAAGAGAGAAGGAAAAGACATGCAACTTATATTATAACCCAAAATAATAAGACAAGGAACCAGAAATAAATACCTTACAAGTTACACTGATAATAAAAAATGAGTGCCAGAAATAAATGCAGAGAATGCAAGAAAATAGAAGGGCAGGCTGCTGGCCAAATTGATAGGAGAAATTCAAAGCATAGAAACCCAATCATTATGGATGTACTAACGGACCTAGTGAGGAAATGCTATCATAAATCTGAACTACATAACATAAAATGACAACACTGTGTTGATGAAAAAGAACTAGCAATCCAATCCCTAAAGAAGAATGCATAAGATGCTAATCAAAGACTTTAATTGTACTGGTAAACCACAAAAATATCAAATATACCAAGCTAATAAACGTAGATTACATATTTACCTTCACTCTAGTCATCTTTAGAAGTGAAGTAAACCGCATAGGTTGTATAGAATACTTTTCTCCATTGTCCAAGGCAAAGAGGAATGAAGGATCAAGCAGTTCACTACAGAATGTGAAAACACGACCTAGTTAGCTTTAGCTTCAAAGTTCATTAGTGCATATGCATCACAGGAAACAACAAACATACCTAGAAGACCAGCTCTTGTAATATGTGAAAATAGTTTCACATAATTTTGAAACAAATATATCAAAACAATGGTCCACCTACAAAAACAGAAAAAAATCCCAAAGATTGTTCAATTGATCTTTTATAAATTTCAGATAGATAATGCTGATATATGCAGAAAGATGAACACATCCAAATTCCCAGAGAACAGGTGAGAAGTCATTTACCTCAGCCTCAATTTCATCGTAGAGGAAGCGCTGCTTTAGCACAACCAGTGCATGCTGTGCTGAATCGTTATAAATGTCAAATGGCATCAACACACTTTCAAGAAGACCAGCACTTTGAGACTCGAGCACGTGATCCACTAGCATCCAAGGAAGGGAGCACTCTATTGGAAACTACAAATGGATAAGAAAACAAGTTATCTTTAAAGAGCAAAAGAATAATTGAAAAAAGAACTATAAAGGGGGAAACATTAAGGCTATAAAAGACATAATTAATGTCAGATTCCAATTTCCTAAATGAGGAATATTGGTTGTATTAAATAGGATATTCTGTAAATATGTTAGTGATTGTAATCCCTAACTTTGAGGGATTTATTCTAGGTCAAATATTTCTAGAATCAAACTCTTTCCTTGTTTAGAGTTTCCTAACTTAGGCTTATTAGGTCTATAAGAACCAGTGTAAAATTTCTATGAACAAATCAATCGAATCAGGTCACTTTTTGACATGGTATCAGAGTTTTTTTAGCTCGATGCTAGGAGAGTTTTTTCACTCGGTTTTGTTGGCAGCCCCTTCTCTCCCTACTTACCTTCGAACCAATAGAACCTGTTCAAAAAGGACATGGCTGGAGGTACTGAAACCAGCAACATTGAGCTATCTCAGAAGTCTCAAGTGATGGAGGAAATCACTCAAATTCAGCAAGTGATTTGCAAAACATCCAGGCAACCTATAAACTAAATGGGCAGAACAACCTGAAGTGGTCTCAACTGGTTCGCGCGTTCTTGAAGGGGAGAGGAAAATTGAGTCATCTACTTGGAAATGGACCAGAAGAAGGAGATCCTAAGTTTGAGGCTTGGGGTGAGCAGGATTTGTTGGTGATGTCTTTGCTGTGGAATTCTATAGTGCCCGAAATCAATGACACTTGTATGTTCCTTAACACAGCCAAAGAGATATAGGAAACAGTGAAACAAACATATTCAAAGGTTCGAGATGCTGCACAAATCTATGAAATCAATACTAAGATTTCATCTACTAACCAAGGAAGTCGTTCGATCACTTAATATTCCAACCTATTGCAAGGCCTATGGCAGGAAATGAACCATTACTGGTGTATCCAAATGAGATGTAGTGAAGATGCAACACTTCTTAAAAGGTTCATTGAAAAGGATCGAATTTATGATTTTCTTGCGGGACTAAATATTAATTTTTTTATAAGAAGTGGAGGCCTCGTTAAAAACCCTCTTCATGATTAAAGGAGCGCCAATAGGTTCTCCTTAATCAGCGAAAGGAGGAAAAGAGTGCCTCAAAATTCATTGATAGCAGAAAAGTTACATAATGTTAAAAAACAGCCAAGCCCCCTTGCAAAGAACAACCCGAAACACTCAAACAAACATCCTAAACAAAACAATAAAACTAACCAATATCAGCCTTAGCTAAGCTATTAGCCTCTATCTGTGTTTTAAAAAGCGCGCCTGAGGCGCTTTGAGGCGCTAGGTGAGGCGTTTAGAAGAAAGCCTCCGACCACCAAGGCGGCGGCGAGTACATGAGGTGGCGAGAGGCGACGAGGCGATGCTTTTAGCGATTCACGTACAATGACCCATTACAGATTGCTTTGCCTCTTTACACACTCATTCTTTTTCTTCTTTCCATCTCCTTCAACCACGTCGGACATCGAAACCTAGATTCCGCCGAGGAAGCCCTAATCCCAATCCGAATGCCACAACGCGGATGTCCCCACGACCTGCGTCGGGTGCGTAAAATCCGACCCCCGGGGCGAGTCGACCGATAAAATAGGGATCGCAACCATCGTCCTATCTTGTCTAAACCATAGTGTAGGACTCCAATCAGCCAACATGATGCACTTTACTAAGTACGTGTTCACAAAGGACATGAAACAGATGTTTCTAAACTGCACGGCCGGGTTTTCCGAAGCGCAGGTCAATCTGACCAACGCGACGAGTCGGTTGATGAACAAAGATTACGACGAGACGAATAGTCTCGTGAAGCAGGCGCTTGTTCAAGAGGTGAAGCGCAGGAGAATTTCGGAGAATCATCAGCTTACGTGGCCTGAAATGGTTTAAAATATGAATGTTTATGAAAAGTTGTGGTCTATATTATAATTTATAAAAGGGTTTATCCTTAATTTTAATTTCTAAAAGTTTTTTTTCCTTAATTTTAATTTATAAAAAGACACCACAGATCCTATTCTTTTGAAGGAAATAGATGAAAGCAACAAGTGGTTGATGGGCCATATGGACGATGAAGATGGTGAGGAGGACTACTGTGTCTTTGATGGAGATGATTTAACATGGTCTGTTGTTGATAAAGCTTTCGGGGCATCTCAAGCTACTTATTCCACTAAAAGAAAATCTACATCAAGTTCATCAAGAGATAAAGAAAAGGGTGTTGCCCAAACCTCCACTCGTAGAAGGCCCTCTACTGGACTAAATTTGATTGATGAAGACGATGAAGAGATAGAACAGGATATTGGACTTTCCGAAGATGATGGGGAGGAGGAGGTACTTGGGATTGATGTTGATGACGATGATGATGAAGATGAGTTTTAGGCATTTTGATTATTGATGATGTTTTTTATGTCTTTTTGAGATACAATATGACATATGCTACTTGGTGTTTTTGCTTATTAAGTTAATTATTAAGTTGTTTTTTGTTTGAGGTCTGGTTATAAAATATTAACAAATGTTTTGTAAAATTAAGCGCCTCGCGTACGTGAATCCCTCGCCTCAAAGCACCTCAAAAATTGAGGCTCTCGGGTAGCTAATCGCCTTGGAGCGCCTCGCGCCTTTTAAAACACAGGCCTCTATATTAGTTGTTCTATCAACCCATCTAATAACACCCTCCATTTCTCTTAACGTAGCAGCAATGTCCTTCACTAAATTTACATAAACAAAAGGACATCTATCTAAATTCTTAACCCAATCTACTGCTAGTTTACTATCAGTTTCAACAATCCAACGATTCTTGTACCGCTGAAGAAGAGAATCAAAGAAAATTAAACCCTTCTTAATGGCTTTAAGCTCCACCAAAGAACCCATCATTGCACCAACCACATCTCTTAATAAACCACCTATACCACTTTTTCGCCAATCTCCACTCACAGCTGCATCCACATTCAATTTTAGATAACCCTTTGGAGGAGGAACCCAAGGCATAATTTTTGGATAACTAATGCAGTAAGGGTTCAAATGCTTGGAAAGGAGGACCTACCATCACTAAATGAGATAATAGCAATTGTTCAGGTTGAGGAAGGAAGAAGAGGAGTTATGATTGAGAATAGCAGGTGGAAAGGTCAGCTTGGTTACAAAGGTTGTAAATGAAAAAAAAGTTTTGGGGGCTAGAACAGCCGACCAGTGAAGACAATAGACAAACCGAATTCACAAGGCCACTCAACAAAGACTCTCTGGTGCACATATTGCAAAAAAACCTTGTCTTACTAAGGAGAAATGTTGGAAACTCCATATAAGGCCACAAACAACAAATAAATTTTTTTAGCTAAAAATGGGCAACCAAAAAGGCAAGCATACACAATGAAACAACAGATTGGGGAGAGCATTTCTCAAGAATCACTTGTTGAGTTAAATAGAGAGGAGATTGAGAAGCTAAAAAGTCTGTTGGGATCACTGGAAAAACCTTCTTCAAGAGGTACTTGCAGTTTAGCTTTTTCAGGTATATCCTCTTCTCAAACTTCTAAAGTGTAGGATATACCCACCAAAAGTTCTTGGATCATTGACTTAGAAGCCACAGACCATGTGACCCACTCCTTAAAAAACTTTATCTCATATACACCTTGTCCTAGTAATAAAAAAATTATTGTTGTTGATGGTTCGATAATTACAGTTGCTGGTCAGGGAGATGTTGTAAGCGAAACCCTCACTCTTAAAAATGTCATCCATGTTCCAAAGTTGTTTACCAATTTTCTATCTATCCAGAAAATTACCAAAGATTCTAACTGCAATGTGGTTTTTTATCCCACTCAATGTATTTTTCAGGAACAGGGTACAAGGAGGATGGTTGGACATGAATGGGCTATACTATTTTGAAGAATACAGTGGGCAAGTTAGTGTTCTAAACTCCTAGCCATTATCTTTCCTCTCCGAATCTGTTAAAACCAATAAAGAGCAAGTTTGGCTCCATCACCTTCGCCTTAGTCATCCGTCCTTTAGAGTCCTTAAAATCATTATTGTTCAAAGAGTCAAAAGTTGAAAATTTTCATTGTGATGTTTGTGAACTTGCAAAACACAAATGTACTTCTTTCCCAGTAAGCAATAAAAGAACTTCAACTCTTTTTACTCTTATTCATAGTGGTGTATGGGGACCATCCTTTATTCCTAATATTTTAGGGGCTTGATGGTTTGTATCCTTTGTTGATGATTGTACCAGTGTATCTTGGATATTCCTCCTAAAACAAAAATCTGATGTAAGCTCTATCTTCCAAACTTTCTACAATATGATCAAGACCCAATTTGATGCTGAAATTAAGAGGTTTTAGTCAGACAATGCCAAAGATTATTTCAATCAATTTCCCTCACCATACTTCTTAAAAAAGGGCATCATACATGAATTATCGTGCGTTAGTAAACCCCAACAAAATAGTGTAGCTGAAAGAAAAAATGGGCATATTTTAGCAATTACAAGAGCTCTCTTATTCCGGAAAAATGTTCCTAAACAAAATATTGAGGGAGGTTGTCCTAACAGCTACTCGTATGATAAATTGGCAGCCTACAAAGGTCATTGAATCTCAAAGTCCTATGAAGGCTCTAACAACGTTCTTTCTTAATTTTAATGCCTCAAACAACCTCACCCCCAAAATATTCGGATGTGTGGCCTTTGTCCATGTACATTCTCAAAACAAGGGGAACTTGATCTACGGGCAATCAAATGCGTCTTTCTCGGTTATTCTTCCACCCAAACGGGATACAAGTGTGACCATCCTCCACAAAAAAAAAAAAAAACACTTTGTATCTGATGGTGTTACTTTTGAAGAAGAAGAAAATTACTTTACCCGTCCTTATCTTCAGGGGGAGATCTCATTCACAGAAGATAAGGACAAAGATCTCTTCCTCCTTGATTTTTCAGAACCTACATCATCTAACCAACAACCCCTTATTACACACCAACCTACAAACCAACTTGAACCAGCCCAAGTTGAAGCCAT